TGGTCAAAATGGCGTGTTGTAATGTCCAGTTGCGTTCATTTTTTTTTTTTTGATGAGGGAAACGATTACGCGCGATTGCAATTTCTACTTTTCCAGGATGCCCAACGCCTGTACGTTTAGTTTGCGCCATAAAGCGCGGTCTCAAGAATACCAACAAACGACTGAAGAACACAATTTCCACATGTCGTATATATGCTGGAAGAAGGACATAAAACGTAGAGGGATTGACGCCCTTAACTGGACCTTTTAGAATCTGTGAGCACCATTATAACAGATAACGATGACAGCTGCATAACTTGGGGGCAACCTGGGGATTCAAAGCGTTTGGCCCAGGTTGCCCCTCCGACAATCGCCAGCGGTCATCTTCACCGCGAGGGGGCCATCAGGGGTGGAACGGCTGCGCCATTTACGCCATCTTGCGCCAGACGCATTTGTCTGCGCCATCCTGCGCCATGTTGCGAAAACTGCGCCACAGCCAATAAATACCTCGCGCCATTATGCACCAAATCGCAAAACGTGCGCCCAAAAAAAAAAATTGTATTTTGTCTTGGTTTCGGTTTCTATCAACTCGATTGGCAACAATGAGCGCGTTTAGCTTGGTCCGCCTTGCAACCCTTTGTTCTCTTTATTTTCCCTGTGTATCCCGAGTCGAAAGTGCGCGAAAAAAACTCGGGGGTCGAATTCCAAGCGCTACACCACCTGCGACTGGATTGTTATTTTTCAACCATCAGCAGTTAAGCAAGTCGGCCGAGGTGAGGCCCGGGATCCGGACGGTCAGCCAGTTGAAAACAAATGAGCAAAATATTAGTTTTAGTACTTCATTGTTAGAAGTTGGAACCGCATTCCCGCAAGATAAATGGTGATTTGATAGAACTGAAACGCGGTCCGATCCGAAACTTTGCCGGCCAGCAGCTCTCACGCGAGCGGTAGATCTGCTCGGCGTACTTATTTACCTTGCTCCTGCTGGTCGCTTAGAATACGATAACTCCGTTAATCGTCGTCTGCTGCTTCGATATTGAATTGCACAATAGGATAAACTCGAAATTTGTTGCCCTGTTCCTCCGCGCAACTGCACGTCCGTTGCTTACACACGTCGCATGGTTTGCACACATAATTACTATGTCGAGCATGTGTGGGTTGTGCAATAAGCAGTGCTGTTTTGAATTTTGAGCAGCTAAAAGCCACTCAGAAAATTTCAAGGACACTATTTTGAGAAACATATGATACTTGCTTTTTGGTTCTCAATAAGGCTCACAAAGTTTCAAGTTTTCGCATCTGTTACACTGTTATCCCATCTACCTAGGTCCCTAACCACTCGTGTCCATCTGTGCTGCTAAGCACAATTGAAATTGCTCCCGTGCTTGTCTAAGGCACAAGCTGAAGTGCAATGAAAACTGATCTGAGCTGCTCCTAGCCTGCTCCAGAATGTAGTTTTTGCTGCTCCCAACCTGCTCCAAAACAGCCGTTTCAGCTGCTCCCGTGGCTGCTCCCAAGCACATTTCACGAGTTCCACCTCTGGGCCATGGACAGCCTGCCACGCGAGCGGCGCTCCGCCGCTGATGAACGGCCGTCGCAGCGTATGTGGGGAGGCTTTTGGGATCGCGGCGCGGGCGATAACGGTCATTAAATGTTTAAGTGTTGTTGAAGCGGTGTCCTGTGTCATTCCCCGAGACAGGTAGCAGCAAGGGAAATCTCACAAACTTTATTAGCATATGATTGCTATGGTGAGCATCAAACTATGAACGTCTTCGCTCACTTTTTCAAAGGCGGCGACCGTCTAATCCCTACCTACAGCATGAGCCATGTGACGCGTCGCCAAATCTCAGAGATAGACTGGCCTTTCGCCGTCAAACACTCAAGATCTACTTGGCAATTCTTTTTACAGCTGCAGCCGTTCGTGCCCCGTCCAGGCAAAATCCTGCGGCGTCTGTAGACAAGAAGCTGATAAAGTGGACATATCGGAGCATTTTTAGCTTGACTTTTGGTGATTAAGTAGTAGTAAACTCGTAAGCCGACGGAAAAAGGGGGAGGAGGGGCGATAGTACCGCTTATAAGTAAATGTATTACTTTCAAATGTTTATTCTTGAGGTTACTGCCTAATGAGAGCCATATGATTACCAAATTACTACACAAAATAATAGATTGCAAGTAATTTGGTCATTTGTAATTTTGTAATGTTCTAATCTGACTTCTTTTTTTGCCAAAGTCACGTTTTATAAGAGCATATCAACCAAAAAGCCCGTCTTAGCGTCCTTCCTTCTTTTTTTTTTTGCCAGAGTACATTTTGTACAATAGGTTTGTAAAAGCACACGGCGTATTTCGTACAATTATTCTACTAAAAGCAAAGACAATCACACAAATTCACGAAAGCACATAAACTAAAAGAAAACCTTTTCCAGCACATATTTTAAGAACGCGACAGCTGCCACTGCCAATGGCAGCACACTTTGTGTAGTCGTTTGCATTTTTTTTTTTTTCAAAACGGCTTAACCGGATTTATTATGGCAAAAAGTAAGTGTGCAAACGAGCTGTGGTTGTCATGTCCCTCTCTTTTACCATGGTCTCGCGGGTTGCGTAATTATATATTCATTATGTCATGTAAGATCATCGAAAAGAAAAGTTGAGGTCTTCCGGAAGCGTCTTAGATTAAATCTGCAGTGTATTTAGTTAAATTTAGATAAATAACACAGTCCTCCCCAACTTGTGAAATCGACAGTGCCTCAAGGCAGAGTTTTGGGGACCCTGAGCTTTAGTTTTTAATATCGGCTACATTAGTAAAGCAGTAAAAAGAAAAGAAAAACTAAGTACGAACGACAAGTTTGTTTTTACTGGTATTGATGCTTATATATATATATATATCTATATATACAGGGTGTTTTTTTTTTAAGCTTAACAGATTTGTTTAAAAAAAGCTGTGAAAGTTACACTTATGCCGCTTGTGGACGTGAGTTATACGGCCAGGGGAACATAATATAGGGGGCTAATCGTAACGATCAGTTGTCTAATTAATTAAAATTCGTTAATTAACTTTTTAATAACTGAAGATAGACATATGGTTCCAATTAGAAACTTGCTCCGCGTCATCGAAAACCACTAAATCAGTCATTTTCAGACAGACTTTCGGCGCGTGAGAAGCGTAGTATTGTACTAAAGTTACCACTCGTGGAGCAGGTACAAGGCTGGGGCTAGATAAGAGACAGAAAAATCGCGCGGGGCGCCTTATCGCAACCGCTAGCTTTGTACCTGCTCCACGAGTGGTAACTTTAGTGCACTACTACGCTTCTCACGCGGAAAACAAAAGTCAGCGCTGTGTGTGTCTACCGCCTTCTACTCTGTCCTTGTCCTTGCGCTGTTTGTTTTCCGCTAATATGAATGACCAACTAGCCCAATCGTCAACACTTCTCACGCGCTCAAAGTCTTTCTGAAAATTACTGATTTAGTGGTTTTCGATGACGCTGAGCAAGTTTCTAATTGGAACCATATGTCTATTTTCATTAATTAAAAAGTTAATTAACGAATTTTAGTTAATTAGTCGACTGATTGTTACGATTAGCCCCCTATAATATGTCCCCCTGGCCGTATAACTCACCTCCACAAGCGGCATAAGTGTAACTTTTACGGCTTTTTTTAAACGAAAACACCCTGTATATATATATATATATATATATATATATATATATATATATATATATATATATATATATATATATATATATATATATATATATATATATCGTAAAAAGGAGGTAAATGCTTTAAAACGTATTTATTGGACGACGTTCCGAGCGGGGACCGCTCTTCATCAGGTCCTACGAAATAAGATACGCAAATATTTAAACAAGAAACATCTATAGTCGCTTTAACAGGGATTGGAAGGTGTAGAAGATGATCTTGTCCACAAAGGTGACGAGATAATCTTTCAAAATTTTTGAGCACGTAATTCATTCTCAACTGGTTAACTTTCTGGTGCTCAACATGTTTTTCAACGCATCACAGCATGCTTTTTAAAGGTTATATTAACGCCAAACTACACTCCTTAGGTTTATTTACTCGTAATCTTCACGTCACTGAGTCCAGGGATCCTGGGTTCAGTCCCACCCCTACCCGTTTCGACCAAGGATGAGCCTGTACCGGCGGCGTGTGTTCATCTTCGCGTAAGCACTGATGCACGTTAAACACCCCAGACTAGCAGACATTCTGCACTGGCTAAATTTATCATCTAAAGTGGAGACACCAGGGCCGGCTTGCTAGAACAGCGTCTCAGCTGAGACTGGCTGAAAAAAAGCACTGCAGACGATGGGGCGCGCGGGTGTCTTGAGACGCGGTTTGAGCTCGTGCTCAACTCAGCTCATCACCAGGACGGAATGGCGCGTGGTACGTTTTGAGCCCTAGATTGGCTCCGATGGCTCGTAACGTACGCTGCAGTCCACATTTAAAATAAATAAATAAATAAATAAATAAATAAATAAAGAGAGAAGGTACGGAAAGGAGGAGGGGGAGGGGACCACACTGAGTGCACCCTCCCTCGACCCGGGAAGAGAGAGACATGCGAAGCCGTGCTTTGACACGAAAGAGCAGATCGGTGTTTTATCGCCCAGCGCCTGCTACCACTTCCGGGCAACCAGCCGAGCAGGTCCTGACCTTCGCTGCATCTTCCAAGAGATAAGCGGTGACAGCCCATAACACGGACACCTCAAAATGCCCCCATTTGATTGCGTTTTCATTTCTTTTCTTTTTTTGTGGATGAAACGCGAAGATAGTAACAAGAACGAATCAAATGCGGCGGGCCCAACCCAGAAGGACGTTTTGAAAATGGTCCTTTTGAGAAATTTCAAACGAGAAGGTCCAAACAAGAACGGGCCCAAATGATAACCGCCCCTCGTGCGCTGGCTTTGGCAGTGCTTTCTTTTCCCCAGTCTCAGCTGAGACGCTGTTTCTATCAAGCCGGGCAAGATGCCCATTCGGGCTGACTTTATGACTTTCCACTCTCTAAACAAACACACAACACAATTGTTTTTTTATTAATATAGCGTCCAGTGAATGTTTGGCCCTTCTGACACAATATGTGGTGAAACTCACTGTGACCTCGGCTGAGTCCGTTCTTAAAGAGCGGGTACTAATGGTTAATGGCGATCTCCCAGAATGCTTCTGCGACATGTATTCCACACCATAAAAACGCCTCTGCATCAGGGTTGTCGTTCTCGTCAGACACTTAGTGTGAGCTCCTTTTAATCATGCGATATGAACAAAGCGCTCTAGACTCAGATTTGACGTCCAATGTTTATCATCAATACTATGCCCAGTCAAATATTTGACCTGGTCGCCGAAGCAGAACGCGCTCTATCAAAGATGGCAAGCAGTAACAACCAAAATACACGTTTGACTTCTAAAAAATGTCTCCATTTAATCGGCAAGGAAGAATCACATACTTACGCTTCGTGCTCTTTAGTCCAAGACAGCCCACCACGTATGATGAAACTGCACAACTTACGACTCTCGAAGGAACACGACAAAGATACAACTAGGCCTAAGAACAAGCGAAGAACTTGAGCTGCACCACCTTCCTGAGCCTTGGCATACTTCTGAGGATGGACATTAGGCAAAGAAAGCATCGATGAATAGGCCAATCTCACTGCCAGCTTCGCTACGCCACCGCTGCCGCGATTCATCGAGGGAACATCACTCTTTCTGTACGTGCAATAACCCTGCTGCTGCAATAACCCGCTGCGAGTGGAGCACGAGACGGAATGAAAGAGACGTACCATGCACTGCCGCCTGCCTCTTGTGGACTACAATTATGGTGGCGTAATAACACATGCGCCAAATGCTTGGTGAGATCGGTCTATTCTATCACTAACACTATAGTTTATTTGAAATACTCTAGACTTTGGTGTGAACAGGCTGTAATTGCCTTTGCCTTGCACTATTTCTTCTTTTCTAGCTTTTCTTCCTTTTACTCTGTCGGATCCCCAACCCTACTCCTTTTTCATTTTTTCAGCAACTAGCAATTCAGCTCTGAATTCAGCTTGACCTCTTGGCGTTTCTAAGTAGTAAGTACAGACAACTCATCTCTCTCTCTCTTTTTCTCTCGCTCTTTCTATTCTATAATTGTTCTATTCTTTCCCGAGAGGACTGAACAACCACGGATACTTCGGGGGACAATCAGCAGTACAAACGGTCGTGGTACGCGGGCCCCCGGCAGGCGTGCTCGGGTACTCGCAGCTCTTCGGTGACGGACACGTGGACTCGGGCTTGGACTTCAAGCAATGGCTCTGAGCGTATTTGTTTTCGGGCGTCGGGTTCCTCATGAAGCTGAGCACTTCGGACACCGTGACCAGATGAACGTCGTCTTTCTCCAAAAGCCAGCTCACGAAGCGAAGATAGCCTTCCTTCCTCTGTGGATCATGGAGCCATGCTTCGTGCACTGAGACCGGGAAAGGGGCTCTGTTGGATTTGTAGAAGTCTTCGAAGTTAGACCTGGGTGGGATGTAAATCGGGAACCCGTTTTAGGTTACTTAGCAGAGAGACACCGATGGCTTGATTGATGTTCACGAGAGTGGACATCCGACCTCCTTTTTGGAGAGACCATAGTCATATTTAGTAAACAAATATGACGAACCAAACATGATTATAAACAATTTTTTTTTTTCGCAAGAAAAGTTAGGAAGTTCTTTTTTTTTGTGGAAAACAGATAGAATTGCAATTTCTTGTATCATGTCACGTAAGTCCAAGTCACCCAATATCTTTTTTTTTTTCACGTAATTTCACTCAGTGTGTAATGAGCTATAGTGGTCATCTGCAAGTACTTTTTTCTTTTCGCTCGTCTTATGTGGTTGAATGTTTATGAATTTTATTGTGTATTTTTGTACTGTGTTGACGCACGTTTTGTATAATTGTTTACTTGTTTTTCATATTTTCTGCAAAAATGCCAAAGTTCTGCTTTTTTTTTTTGTAGTTTTACTTTTTTGTTTGTTTTATGAAAGGCTGCTGCTGCTTGTATGGGCCCCCAGACACCCTCAAGCTGTCTTTTACAGCTTTTTTTTCTGGGTACCGCCATCAACATGTTGGGAAAATAAACGAATTGAATTGAATTAAAGAAAGCATTCCAAAGTATTGCGGAAAAATGGCGATGTGTTTCGCTTTCAGGCATATCACTTTTACGTATCTTAGGAAAGCAACAATTCTCCCCAAGCTGTTTCTTCAGGACTATATTTTCTTCTTCTGTGAGTGATAATCTGATTTTAGATGAGCTATGGCATGAACTATGACAAGTATAGAGTTCTTAAATTGTTTTTTCTTCAAGTTCAACCCTTCTTTACGAACAGCCAGCTTCCGGCTTCTAATATTACTTTCAATAGCAGGATTATTCTAAACTAATTTGGACACAAAATTTTATTTTCTGCAGTTTTTAGTTTATCGTTTACAAAATTCCGAAGTGACGACTTAGAAAAAAAGTTTGCCTTTTATTTGGATTTAGCAAACGAATGGTTGAGAACTGTGACGTAAAGCAACAAGCAATAAGGTAGCTATGAATCAGGTTATCGAATGATGTGCCCCCATCGACCACTAGCTTACTGATAATGAAATAATTTGTGGGATTTTTCTTTATTACAATACTTCACGATGAAAAATCGGGATTCCTAAATCATTTTGATTCTGGGTTTTAAAATTCGCTGATTTATTTGTATGAACTATTAACAATGAAAAGATACGTTTCACAGTCATTCTATTTTTTTTTCTTGTGCTTCTCTATCATTTTCCGCTTTTTCAAAACTGCTTTTTTCACCGACAATTAACTGCTTGGTATTTAAACGTATACAGATATTTCTTAAGTGAATTATATTCCACGCTATCATGTCTGATTCCTGAAATCAGGGTAAAATTAGGTTTTCCTCCGAAAACATCCCACCTCATGTACAATATTTCCGATGTGCATACCTCAGGTACTCGAAGGTCTCATCGGCACTGGAAGGCTGAGTCTCACATCCATCAGCCATCGAACAGGGCAGCTCTTGAGACCCGCCGTCGACGTCGCTTTTCTTAAAGAGCACGTTCAACGGCATCACCCAAAGTCCAGGATAGGCCTCTTGCGGGCACCGCTCGACGACACACTTTTCCTTGAATCCGAAGTCGAGGGTGTAGGGGAACGTGGGACGGGTATCGGGACGTGTCCTCGGGTGAACCAAGCTGCTGTCGTACTCCAAGTTGCTGTGGATCATCTTGAACCCCTGGTCACCTCCGGTCATTAGGTTAGGTCCTCGGAAACCCTTGATGGCGGAAGGCGGAATGTTGGCGAACGCCTCCACCATCTTCTTTTCATCCGCGACCTCTAGTTCCCAGCCGGACGTGTCCAAGTCATTCCAGTAGGCCTGATCTGCGTGGTGGCTTTTGCGACCATGAGAGCACATCAAGAATTAATCAATAATTATCAAGGATTATCAAGATTTCAGAAAGATTATAATAATGCACTGTACACCATGAAATGACATCATGAATGCATAAAGAATTATTAAAAATAATCAATAATTATTAAAAATTCCGAAAGATTATAATAACGTACTGTGAACCTTGAAAGGACACAAAATTCAAGAGTTACCAAGAATCATAAAATATTCTCAAGAATTTAGAAAGATTATAATAATACACTGGACGCCATGAAATTGTATCAATAATTAATTAAAAAAATTATCAGGACTTACGAAGGATTCAAAAGGACTATAATAATCGAGATAAATAATATTTTCATTGTTTGCCTGCTTTTAATTTACATGTGCATAAATACATGATATCGTTCTAAGTATTCCAGGACACATCTTTGATCGATATTAGTTTCGCTTCTCTAGCGTTCGTTGTTTCAATTTTAGTATTGGCTTTTGTGTTTGACGTTGTAATGTACGCCATACAGGAAACCGATAGAGTTGTTTGTGCATGTTAGCAAAATCAAACTTATCATTATAATTAGAGAACACTCGGCATTTGTGAGTAGAAGAGGAATGCTCGGAATGGTTACGCGTAACACTTTTTTTGTGACGTCGGTTGAATTCACCCCAAAAACAGCTGTCTGCAAACTGAACCGTCTTTGAGCATTAAGTAATAACGTAAATTTAGGTAGAACAATTTCTTTAATTGAAGTTCTCGCGTACAGCTCCAATCGATAGCTATCAACTGCTGACAGGCATTTAAATAAAAAGCGAACATAATACACGCCGCTATGTGTCTCGGGTACGGAATGGTACTACAATCATGTGTCTCGCTAATATGGACAAGTTCGTTCCCTCAAGAAATCGTCCTCAACGTGAGTTGCCCATAAAAACAAGACAGAAACGTATGTATTTACCCCGTTGGTTCCCGAAAGCTTTGTCTATTTCGCGGAGTATCCATATCAACAGGATTCATATTAACGAGACATCGCGGTATGTATATACACTGAGCAGCCAAAACATTATGACTAGGGTTCCGTGTATTCAGTAAATACCGATAAACCACGAAAACTAACCCCTGAGTTGGTTTTATCTAAATCGGGAAAAACCGATAAACTCGTAGTGCGAGCTGTTTTTCAAGGAAACAAAATAACTCGTGGTTCACGGGGAGAAATTTTTATGTACAGCTGTTCTTTAAAGTTCATCCGGAACACATTTTCCAATGAGCCGCCCTCGAAGCATGCAGTTATTTTCTTCGGAATTACACGCACGCATTCCTATATGTTATCAATATGGGGACGTTTTGCAAGTATTCGGGCCACGTGTATGTTCCTTGGATTCCATGTCCGCGCACTATTTTCTTCAACATAAACCCCGATAACCCCCCAATTTTTTCGGAAACCAAAAAGTGATGCCGAGAAACACCAAATCCGTGGTAAAAAAAACCAATAAATAAAAAGAACACTTCTGAATTAGAGTAAAAACGAACACCGAAAACACAGAACCCATATAATTATATAACCACCCGCCTAATACCGTGTTGATTTACCTTTGGCACGCAAAACAGGTATAAAATTCGTCTGCTTTGAATTCCTATATCTACCTAAGTATGATGAACTTGTGCTCACAAATACTTGTACCTTGACCTTTCATCGTATCTGTAGTTGGGCGAGCAACAGGTAGCCGCCTATATCGCTTCACCTATCGGGAAAGCCTGAGACGTCCACATTCTTTGATGAGGCGTGGAGGTGCAACGCCTCGGCGTCTATAGCAATTTCCTCGTTGTTCTTCCACTTTTAGTTGATACTTACGACGGCAACTCGCGAACACCCGACGAGCCTCTCAGTGTCCGAGATAACTTGCTCCGAGCCTCGGTACATCACGATCTGCCTTGTTACCTAAATCGGCGGACTTTCCCAATACATGCACGTGTATTGTCAACGAAACAATCCCCGTGTATCCCGGCAGACGTTCATCAGCATCAGCGGGTGGTAGATAATGCGAATGGCGCATTCACACAGTTTATGGGATGGTCGTATAATGTTTGGGCTGATCACCGGAAGTTTCAACGAAGACTTCCAAAAATTTTCTACCAATAGGGTGGTTGAGAAAAAAAGGAAGTCTTCTCGGGACAAACTGCCAGCCATGGCAGACGTCATGAAGTGCAAAAAACATGCTAAGTTAGCTAAATAATTATTTAAAATGTACGAATTACCTTTTTCATTACTCCAACTAAACACAAGGTTTCAAGCAGGCGCTTGCTGGGCGTCATTAAAAATCTCTAAATCACGTGCTTTGGGAAGAGCTAAAGCACGTGCGAAGCTTGGGGGTGCGCCAAAGTTTCCACTCGTGCGGCTGGCACAAGGCTGAAGATGCGAAAACGCGGATGATATTCTTATCATTCGCGTTTTGGCGGATGATAAGAATATCATCCCATTCCGTACCGGTTGCAGTTAGACTGAATACTGGCAAGATGCCGAAGTACTGCAGTTGATAAAACTGGCCAATCAATTAATAACAAGCGAAAAAAAAGAAGAAGCAATTGCTGCCATTTTTTAAAGCACTGCACACATCACGTCTTCACGAAACTCTGACTGAAATAGCTCTGATAAAAACTTTGAAAATGACCTCATGCATTCGGACATTTTAGACACTGAAAACGGCCCAAACCTCATCTCCTGAGAACAGCCGACTTGGCACACAAAACCGCGGATTACAAAGGATGAACAAAAATTTAACCCCAAAAAGACTTTCTTTTTCCAGCCAGCCGTGCCATTGTGCTATATAATACTGACCTTTCTTCGGTTAAAACAGAAGTGAAAAAATTAGGCTGACGGTTATCGGTTTTTATCTGTTTAATATCCGAAAACACCGAACCCTACACATAGTCTACGCAGATGTGTGCCTTTTTGTTTTACGGTGATGATTCTACTGACTCCTGAGCATTTTTCATGGCGTCTGTTTCATCCGTATTTATACTGTAAATCCAGTGGTTGGGGCTTTCGCTGCTAAACACTTAAAAAGAAAACAACTCTGGAGAGCGTTTAGTAAAGCGTGTTTCTTTCTAAATTTCGGTTATTTCTGTTGATTCTCGGATAATTGATATCGCCGGGTATTTGAAACAGTCAAAACGAAACCTTTTATCACACACAGCGAGTGTCAAAGACAAAAGCGTGTTTTTGACTCGAATACTTATACTCCCTTTCATTTTAAGTGTGCGAACGTGACCGACGATCTGACGGCGCCAATCAAACAGTGCCAAAATGGCACCGATATAGCCCTCGTTCTTTTTCTAGGCTCGCTCTTATCGGCTTAGCCAATCAAATACAGAAAAAAAAGTGGAGGATCGCGGTGCTTTCACTGTACGCGATTGGTTCAGTCGAGTTAGCAGACGAACAAAGGCGACGAGTGCCGTTACGATGCCCTCTTGGTGCTGCATGACATCGGTCGGTCTCAAAGCGAAACGCTGTATATAGTGAGACTTCTCTGGAACTCTACGAAGTTAACGAGGCTTAATAACGTGAACTGACCTGATAGAGTGAAGCGCGATTTCGTTGCCACCCGCGTAAAGCTCGTTCAAAAGAGCAAACTCCAGACGGTCAGCAGAGACGAAGAAGGTAGCGGCGATGGCACAGTCACTCGCCTTGTTCCTTCGCTCGAGATCACCGAGGAGTTCCCGATAGAACGGCATGTTGCTCGCATTCACCGCGCCATCGAAGGTGAGCATCACAAACTGAGGCATGTCGTCCAAGCCAAGTCCGGCAGGCGGGCTTTGACTGCTACACGTGCAGTTAGGGGGCTTGCAGTTTTTGCTGCATTCTGCGTTTTCTGGCACAATTTTCGTTACACGGGGCGTGGTTGTGACGGATGGCGGAACGGTACCATCATGCTGGGTTGTGGCGATTTCAGAAACTCCTGCCGGAGGATCCGACGGTGTAGTAACCGTTTCCGAGGTCTCCTCCTTCTGAGCCGGTCGTGGCACGTGAGATGACGTTTCGAAATTCGTAGTTGTTGCTGTGACGGCTCCGCTTGTCTGGACTTCCGGCTCTTTGCTGGTTGGTACGGGTTCTATTTCATCCGGGTCCTCGCGCGAAACAGTAATGTGCCACTGTCCGTCGGGTGACCAGTATTCCTCTTGATCCTTCGTCGTCGGCGTTGCGCTCTTCGTCGGAAAGGTTACGATAGTTGGTTCCGTGCGTGGGTCAAGGGGAGACGTAAAATTTGAAAAAGGCGTTGCAGCATCGGTCGTCCCTGATTGGCCTATTTTACCTTCAATTCCGGGAATAATTTCTGGTGATTTTTCGTATTCGACGATGATATGCACATTTTTATCGGGTGACCAGTATTCCTCTCGAACTGGGACGAGAGAAGAAACATGTTGCCGTAATCCAACGAAGGCAAGCACGATGAAACGTATCAGCTTCATTTCAGAAGGCACGAGAGTCGATTCATGCTCTCTCTTGTGCAACCCGCTTCCTTTTTATGTGCCGGAGATAGCATTGTCAGCCGCCCAAGCCGATGCTATTCATGATCAAAGCTCAAAGATCCAGACAACACACTTCAGAAAAATTGCTGCCCTGCCTTTATATCGTCCTGGTTTCACGCGCTTATCAGTTTAGCACGTAAGGCACGTCCAGAAAGTGGGTTCCGCTTTGAAATAAGAGAGGTATACGAAACGCTCGCTGCTCGTGAAATGCTTTACTTTCATTGAATTCTGCATACCTTCGTTTATGATTCCGCTGAATATCCTTCAATGTCAAGGCATATTAGACACATCATGGCACAAGTTTTCTTATAAGTCTGCCGCCCGCGTTTGAGAAACATCTTTGGCGTTCACCGTAAAGACCGTTTCTGCTGCTGACATATTTTGTAATCATTTCGTAAAGTAAAGATTTCAAAACTTCACGGACGTGTGTCGCAAGAGACGGGCCGGCCTGCTCGAGCAGCGTCTCAGCTGAGACTGGGGGAAATTAATTTAATTGGGTTGTGTGTGTGTTTATACAGCCTAGAACTTGGTCTGCCTCACAGGGGCGACGAGTCTCCCAGCTGTAGATGAGCAATTTAGCCAGTGCGGTACAGCCGCTAGCCTGGGGTCTTTAACGTGCATCACGCAGTAGTGATACACGACCGCACGCCGGTACGATGCTCATCCAGATCGAAACGGGCAGGGGTGGGGCTCGAACACTGGGGGAAAGAAAGTACTGGGGTGCGCGAGCGCATTGAGACGCGGTTTGAGTCCCGCTCACCTCGTGCGCAGGCTTTGGCAGTGCTTTCTCTTCCCCGGTCTCAGCTGAGACGCTGTTTCTAGCAAGCAGACCCAGAAGTGGTACAGCGACGGTTTACGTCTATGTTTTCTTCACTTCCCCCACCAAAGGTTCAGTGACCAGACAAAGCCGACTGCTCAGCAATACTCCAGGAACGCTCTGTCGCCCTTCGTAAAAACATTCAAAGTCGATCCCGGGCCATTCCTTCGTTCACAGTTTTTAGTCTCCAAATTTTGCGAAGCTGTCGACGAATCTTTCATGATTTATACAAGGCCTAAACCTTGCCGTATAAAAAAAAAATAAAAAAAAAATAAAGACTTATGACAGAGAGCATAGTTTGAGTCAGCGGGCCGTTCTACTAGCACAAACGGGATATTATTGCAAAGTAGAACCAGCAGACATAATCAGTCTCAAAAAATTGCACGTGTAGCGAACGATAATAGATCATCATTTTATCGTTTTCTTCGAAAACCCGCAAGAGGTATTACACGTGGCAGTGGGCAGCTCACGTCCACGACAATGATGGGACGTCCTTCCTATGGCTTACCTCGAACACTGCGCCATCCACTGATAAGCTTATAAAATTATCTATCGCGAGATATAGCGGGAAACAGAGCGTACCTTGAAACGCCCACCCACAGCCTCTCCCGGCCGGTCGAAGAGAGTCACACTGTGGCAGACTGGCATCGCCTTTCACTGCGCGTGTGCGATTAAGTTCATACACAGCTTTAAAAACACGAAGGGTGTGGCTCATCATGTTCAGGCTTCGTGATTGGCTCCCCGGTGTTGTTATCGGCTAATGCGGCACTCTGATTGGCTGCGGGGGGATAATATGATGCTCGGGAATCGCCACGCCCTGTGGTTCTTAAGTTTTCAGTGGCTATAGTGTGCATGTTTGTACATAAAGAACAGTGTCAATAAAGAAGGTTGTTGCACTTTCCACATATGGTCCCCCGCCCTCCTCCCAAAATTGTTTCTTTAGAAAAGGGCAGCGTATACGTGCTGTGCATATAGGACCGAACTTCCAACATGCTTCTAAATTAAATGCTCGAGAAGTTTGCAAATATGGTAGCATATATCTCTGCAGTGAAACACATGGCATTTTGTATGACGGCATTTTCCAGTTTTAGCCGGCTTTTGTATTTTTGACGTATCAACGGTTGTTTATTGGTTGTGTTTCGGTAAAAACCGATTTTGTATCTTTTTTTTTTTTTTTTTGACACAGTCGGATGTTTATTGGTGTTTTTTTTTTTTTTTTGTTTAGAACCGGAAAGCGTATAGGGTTTATTAACCTGTAAGTCAAATGACAAGCTCATACATAGACTAGTCAATGTGCTGGAAACTGCTTTTTAATTGAACCTTATTTTGCAATTTGTCGTATACGTGGAATGCGCTTTGTAGATCAGTTTTTGTCTAACTTGTTTGAACATTTTGAACATAATATTTGCCCGGTTTCCAAGTTCCAACCGACGGTTTCCCGCATTCGCCGCGATGTATCTCTCTTCCACTTGCCGGCAGAGGATGTAGCACGTTGGGCGTTCCAGCGCTACTGCGCAACCGTCTATTTGCCGCCGTATCTCCCGATAGATTGTATACCCTATACCGCTTGTCAATGGGTGGCGTAATTTTCGCTGTAACAAGGAAGGGAATCTCATCGTAGTTGGGCAGCTTGCGGTCGTTCTTAATGTCTCGTTGAGATACGGTAGAAATGAGATAGATTTGCTGGTAAGAATAAAAGCCTTTCAGTCCTTGGTCGTCGTCACAGACAGGGGAAGCTCTATGGAGAAAATTTGCATTCTCGGAGCGCGTGAAAAAAAAAAAAAAAAAGGACAAAACATGTTTTTTTGTGTTTTATGCAGAGCCTCACGTTCGTCTGCTTCTTGCACAGGGGTTGCGATGATGACAGAACGCCGAGCTCTTATAGGATAATTTAAGAAAGTAGTTGGTAGACCTCAAGGCATCAAGCATTGAGGTCTGCCCACTGTCCTTTCAATCGGAGCCAATCAGAGCTGGGCATCGTTCTGACGTCACCGCCACTCCTCCGCGAGAAGCAGACGACTTGCTCTCCGCATAGTATAGACCTTTGCAGAAATCGCCTCCCGCGCGCTGCCATCTTTGTCTGCTGGGCTGTGGAACGCCTTCCAAGCATGCGCTGTTGATCTGTTGTGCGGTATATCGAACGCTGCGCATGCGTCCACAGCTCAGTGACTCAGCATTTTTTGCCCGCTCGCTTCGTTCGAGACTGCCGCTGGAAAAGTCTATAGCTGTACGTGACCACGATCACGGACAAGTAAAAAAGAAACACAGGGCGTGGCGAGTCTCGTGCATCTCATTATCGTTTCGCGCAGCCAATGAGGTTGCGGCATTAGCTAATAATGAGAACACCGGAGAGCCAGTCACGAGGCGTGGCCATAATAAACCACGCTCCACGTTTCTTCAGTTGTCAGCGACTACACAGGCAGAACCGGTGTTGTACGGAACGGCGTTCCAAGGTATGCAAGGTTCCCGGAACGGTTTCCTTTTAGGAGAAACGGAGGAACGCCGCCGTTCCATTTTACGTCGGTGGAACTGGAACTAGAACTCGGTGCGTTTTCGAGAAAACGGCAAAAAGGACGGCCTTCTTTTTTTATTTATTTTTTTTCTCCCGATATATTTGCAATTTTACTCGAATTTAGTAGACATTTAGATTTTTATTATTATTGAATATTTCAACCTCCGAGTTCAAGGGACACAAGTGTCTCCAGAACTGGAACAAATGCGATCAAATTGGTCACTTTATTTTATATACGGATTATTCGGTACAATATATTATTGCAAACGTAAGGTTAATGTAACGACTCTTTCCTAACTTAGAAACATAACGAGAACGCGTTCCTTTCGAACTGCTGGAACTTGTATGCCGGAAACTATAGCTCCAAGACTGAGAACGGACGAGAAACGAGCTCTCGTTCCCTGTTTCGAAGGAACACCCGTGAGCGATATGAAGGTGAACAGCCCCCTTCTTGTTTTTGACGCTCCTGCAAGTTTTGGAACAAGCTCTGTTCCAGAAGAGGGCTAGAACGCAAAGTTTAGACCCCCAAGCTACGTACCATTTGAGACGTTGAGTGTCAATATAGTTTTAGGAAGCCGTAAAACAGGCAAGAGACCAGATATGGTGTTCACCTTCATATTGCCGGCGGGTGTACAACACTGCGCAGAGGACAGCACTTCTCTTAGAGGTGTGAACCTTTTTTTTTTTTTTTTTACTTTGTTTGACTGGCAATGGCAGCATGGATCAACGACGTCGTTGGCGCGGCGAAGTGACTATATGCCGATCGGTTATATCTATCGCTCGGTGATTTGCCGGATAAAGTTTCGCAGTGGCTTTTGCCTAACGGCACTTTTGAAAGGAGGCTATCGATTGCATTAAGCCGGGGCTGCAGTCAGTGACCGCTCGAGATACGAGGCACAATGTATCGCTGTCGCGCACGACTATTTACCTGGAAGCAATATCAATCTTCCACTCGTTGTTTCGTGATAACGGGCATGAAACTCTGCGCGCGTCCTGGGTGAACAATGTAGCCGCGATTGAGCCTAACGGACTAATCTCAAACCCATGCGAACACACTATTTCGACGTGTCTGCTACAAAAACGGAACATTTGAAAGTACATTTGGGCGATAATCATTGAACACCTTACTAAGGTGTTCAATGATTCGAGAGAAACACCTATGATAGGTGTTTCTCTTTTAATAGCGAGTTTAAGAATAGCGTACGCATGAGGCTTTGCGTAAGCAAAGATATGGCGTCCTTGCCCGCTGCGTATTCGTCGAGCCTTTGAATTGGAGCAGGGCGACGACGCTATATATGTTAATTTATATTTTTTTATCTGCCTATTACTGTTACTCTGGCAAGCGGCGCTTTTAGTGCCCCAAATCCCACTTATTTGCACGGTTGTCTGCGGCACCGATGTCGGGAAATGCCTCAGTTCAGATCTGACAAGAATTAAAAGTTTCATTTTTATGCCGTTTGGCAGGTCCCCAAAATAGTGTTGTGCTTAAATTCCTTTCCAATGAAGGCAGTTCGAGATAATCGGCGAACCAGTCAATGTAGCACGTGGTACCCGAGAAGTTAGAATTGAACGTTGACGGCTCGACACTTTCATTGGGTTTTTGAGGAGGCCTTCAAGGTTCCCGCGTCACACTACAGTTGGGAATATCACTCCTCCTGAATAATTACTGAGTCAGATGCACCTGATACAATCACTCAAAAACAACGCTGTTTTCTTCTTCTTTTTTTACATTGTTAATTAGTTTG